ATGAATATTAACCCTGCTTTGTACTTGGCCGACACGCTGAGCCGGATATTTAACGTGCTAGTTCGCAAGGCAACAGTAACAGTCCGCAGGAAGACATATCACCGGACCCGGGCGCATTATTCTGACTCCGAGCCGACCAGTCTTTGCTCTTACTCCTTAATGCCGCGTACTAAGCTGAAGAGCAGTAAATACCAATTTTAAAGTCTTTGGTTTGATCCAGGACCTCTCGCACTCGAGGCGAACTCGCTACCGCGAGACCATCGAGGCGGTTGTATATTTAAGGAAATTGATGAATCATCTGTCAATATTTGTAATTTGTTCGCACTTTTATTAAGACTACCATTTTAACAAAATAATATCAATCATTTACACTAAATTATCATGCGATCGATTAAATTTTCGTTGCTTCACGAGCAGTAGCAAATATTTTAACATGTTCGAGACGAGAACATATGGACAATTTTAACAATAGGTAGGAGTTGCAAGGAAGGGGTCGATCGGTTTGAAGGGCGGTAAATTTAGACTGCCACTTGATATGAGGATAATTATGTTGAAAAGGATAGACATTTTTCTTGGGTCAAGAGAGTTGTTGCAAGACTTCTTAAACGTACAGAAAGCGTGTCACCTTTTCTACACGAGGCATCGGATTTAAAGTCCATATTCCAATCGGACGTGGCTGTGTATTTATGCGTCCCGCATAACCAACGAACGCTCCACTTGAGCAAGGATTTTACCTCCAAAACATGAGAAGTCCAAGGAATAACCATAATTCTAGAACCCAGTCAACCCATGGGGTTTCTAAAGTAATCACTAAAGCAAACAAATAACAATTATAATCAATTATTAATTATAATCCATTAATGAGATGTAATGAACCACACAATGACGAATACACAGAACAAGTAATTGCCATCTTTGATTTCATTTATCCATTTAGGTACGTTAGTGGACATATGAATTGATGAAATACGGACCTCTTTAGTAGGGACATAATCAACACTGAAATCGTACGCTTTTTGCCTTATATATATAATATAAATAAGAAGATGTGGTATGAGTGCCAATGAGACAACTATCCATCCAAGTTACAATGTGTAAAAAGTAAACAATTATAGGTCAAAGTACGGCCTTCAACACGGAGCCTTGGCTCACACCGAACAGCAAGCTATAAAAGGCACCAAAAAAGACTAGTGTAAAACAATTAAAACAGGAAAATCAACGGTCTAATCCATATAAAAACGAGAAACGAGCAACACTTATCAACCACACCAACAAACGACAACCACTAAACAACAGGCTCCTGACTTAGGACAGGTGCATAAAACTTCACTCTAACCTGAAACAGTCGTATAACATTACAACATAAAAAGACACACAATGAAATATCAATTGAAATGGCTGAACTCGATCAAAAAGACAATACACAAAAACAAGTAAATATACACTGAACGAATAAGTTTGATCTATGACACCCATTATACAAATTTCTTTTGTAAATGGCAAATAAGCATAGAACGTACGGATTTTTACTGCGTTTCCAGTTGGAAAAGTTGCTAAAGTATTCAGGGGTAAAAAGGTTCATTATGTAAGTTAAAACATTATTGATAATATTTTTGCCTGTACTTACTACGAACTGAAACCGAAATTTCCGTTTTATTTTAGTTTTATAAATATTATTCTAATCAGTTGTATTTTACCACCAAAAGTTTTGGTCTCTAGTGTACTTGTAAAATGAAATTAGTTTCTGTCACATTAAAATCGATAGAAAACATTACGTTTAGTTATACTTCATGTCAAAATGCCAGATTTTGATTGGTTAATACGAGGGGGATAATTTACTCGATCCTACGGCAAATACTCTTTTACCCTTCACGGAGACGCTTGATCAAGTGTGCGCTTTATTAAATACGGATGGTTGCTATGTACAAGACGTCACGGTTTATTACTTTGAATTTGAAATTTAATAGACAGTAATAACAGAACATTCAGTATAATAAATTAAATGACACATATCTGAGAGGGTGATAGAGTAGATTGTTACCATTCGAAAAGACATTTTCAACCTTGGCTTCGCCTCGGTTGACAATGTTTTCTCGGGGTAGCAATATGCTCTATCACACTCTCAGCTATGTGTTATTTAAATGATATCATCTTTCTAAGCGACTAAAATTTATACAATCTGACAAATTATTGGTCGAGTACCACTTACCGTCAGAAATGCATAGTTATTTATGTACAAAAAATGCAGATAGTACTATATCTCCGAAAAAATACAGCATCCAAGTGTTCATGTGGGACAAACACATTCCATATGAGTCAACAAGTTCATAATACTATCAATTAAACGTTCGAACAGATGACTTAAGCTACCATTTAGAACTCGTGGTTAAGTAACTTCCTAGTAAGAGTAACGCTACATTCAGGAACTAAAGGTGTACTATTTCGGATCAATTTCAAGGCTTACTCTCAAATTGTAGAATGTTGCTTTTTTCAAAAAACGGACATTTCAAATCGCATTAGTCTCATTTGCAGCCAAGACTAGTAATTTATCGGGTTTTTTTTTTGTTATACGGTAATGACTAATAAAGGCCTAACCTTTTCTGAGATATTTTTTTGCAAGACACCCGTTGTGCAATCTCAATCTTAAGAGAGAAAAAAAACAAGGAGATGAAAAGAAAAGCATAGTTGGTTCCATATGTTGTTAAATATCTGTTGCCAAACATAAATATGTATGTAAATTAATTTTCATTTACTTTCAGGTTTATTTGTGATTAAGGTTGTTTTGTTTAGAGTCGTTGTTTATGAACTGAAGAAAAATGTAATCCTTGCTATAACAATTTATGTGTATTGATGTCTCGTAACCAAAGCTTCACTAATTCCCTTAATCTAAATCAATGTTCAGAACGTGAAATACTAAGTGTCGAATCTTTTTAATAAATTGATTAAACTTAAACTTTAAAATATCTGTGTAGTTTTCCTTTACTGTAAGCGTCATTGTCCAAACGGACAGAGAGCTACATGAAAATGTATTTAAATATAGACCAATGACAATGATCATGCAAAATCCAACTTTCTATTATGTCGTACAGAATTTATGTGCTTGAAATAAAACACAGAGAAAACTGGAGTGCAAATGGAGTAGATAGTACGCGGAAATCGGGCATATATTATGTGATATGTGGCTAGAAATCACAACTTATCAATTATATCATTACAAGTTCAATGCGGAACTTTTGTTAAACGAATAAAACTTTGAAGTCGAAGTGTTTATATAAGATAACCCCATGTAACTTGAATGCATATTATCAAAATTGGAACATTTATGCAAAAATAAGGTAATGTTTAACCACATATAAGATTTCTCATTTGCTACCAGGTGCACTGTCCAAGGACGTTTAATTTAGTTATAATCGTATATATGAAGACTTGAATCATTTAAAAGTCTATCGAAACGAAGATTTAAAAAGACAATTAAAAGTCTATAAAATGTAACCGTCGTTTTGTTTATGTCATTTTGAAAAACTGCTGTTGGATTTTTAGCATTCCCAGATTGTCTTTTACACATTTTCCAATAACAATGCCGTAGAACAAATATATCATCAATATAAACAATTAGACATCTTTTTAATTCCATTTTCTGTAATTTCTTATCAGAATAGCCGTACTTGTGCACAAGGTTTCAAGGAACTTGATTGTATGATTAACCGATATTTTTGGGTAATTTTCTGAATCAATATCTGATAAACATCGCACCATCAGTAGGTAGTTTTGCATAGTTTTGATTGTGAAATTAATATATGGTGAGGTGTAAGTTATTTTTGGAATATGTTTTATGGAATAGTTGACACACTCGCAATAAATTGTTGTTTGTAAAAACTCTTAAGTAATATTGGTAACAGGTAGAGTGGGTGGAGGTGATTCAGTTCTTTATCTTCGTTTGAAAATCAGGAGTGCCATAAGTTAGACATAGTTATATAAGATTTCCTATTGTCATTGGTTACGTAGTGAATTGTAAAAATAAAATTCCTCTAACAAATAGTTTGTGATTTGATTTATATAAACATCAATATTTTATGGTTTTGTCTGTAGGGACAACACCATATATGTCATGGAATGTGGACAGCGGTATCTAGAAACATTTGGATATGATTAGATCTAAATTTTCTATCATAATTGCCATCTTCGCACTTACCGCTTTAAATTATTCGGAAAGGTAATATACGTCTTCTCTTTCATGGTTTGCCCTTTGTCTGGCATAATCCGCGACTTAATCAGTTAAAATTACAAACAGAGGTAAAAGACACGAAAGGGACAATCAAAATCTACAAGTCAAACAAAAACTGAGAAAACCATAGCATAACAGAAAAACGACGAAGAAGCAATCGAGTCCGCCAAACACTACATCTTAGATAAAGTAGCGCGGGTCCCAACAATTAATCGGGGATGAATTCAGGTGCTGTGGAAGGTCCGCAGTTCCTAATCTACTGATAAGACGGTCGTGTTATTACTGTTTGAATACCTTGATGAATAGGTAACTCTAAATATCAGAATAGTAGAAACATCATAGACAGTAGGACGGGATAACAGCTGCGAATAATGGAGAACATCAGGGAACATTTGCGATATACTAGTAGCTATTTGATAACAGTCGACCAAATCATGATGGCGTCCGTAAAACTGTCTGTGGTATGACCTCAACTTTATCATTAATAATTCTTGGTTTAATAGCTTCATTGTAAGCAGCAACCTTTTATAACGATTACAATAAACACATGCCTTTGCATACCGTATCAATTGGGAGATATATACAAACTCCGTTCATAGTCTGTTTGATTGCAGCAACTGAGAAACGGAAATTTATATATCGATATCGTTTCACAGTATTTCGTTACGAATGTTGTAGACACTATTTATGCCACCATTTATATGGTTACCATGAATTTGTATGAATTGAGGACTAAACAGGTGAAAAGTTGAATAAATGATAAGTTTTCATCTTATTTTATGCCAGGTTTATGCAATAGCACATTTAAATCAATGTGTTACTTAAATGTTTAAGCTGAATCGATTCGTACGGTTTGAAGTTTTAAACAATAATCATGCTAAACATTCATTTCGTAACTTGTTGTTTAAAACTTGATTGTTGATTGTAAGTGTTTTGTATGCCAACCAGTTTGTAGTGTCTTGTAGTTTCTGTTGAAGATGCTCTTCAGAAGGTAGAGGTTGTATCTGAAATAAGTTTTAACTAAAATGTAAGAAATACATAGTTCAATTATACAATAATTAGAAACAATTCTTTCATCAGTATGCTTTATATTTTGGGATTGTTTGTACGAGTAGTGTAATACGAAATCTTGTTTTTATGGTTGTAGTTTTCCTTTTTTATTAAGGTTTTTTTTTTTCGTTTCCTATCTTTTTAATTTTCTAATGTATCAATATATGAAAATGTTTAAACTATTTAATTATCAGCACAGATAAAAATACATAAACCAATCTCGAGTTGTTTTTTATGAATGAGTTACACCGGTTGACCCGTGGTCAATCGGCGTAAACGACGTTATCGAACAATCAGTTCTCGCTGTGATGTAACAAGAACATCATTGTGGCATAGCAAATTTACGGGAAAGTACACGAATTCGAATGTCGTATATTGGTTGCATGCGATAAGAACCACTACAATATAAGTTTAATTAACAATGTTTAGACTTATACTTTAGTAAATAAATGAATTCATATCCTTATGTTGAAGGAACATGCATACGTATCTCATATATCATGTTGGAATTGAATACTCTTGGGTTTTTTAGTTTACGAAGGTGCTAGCTGATAAATGAATCAGTCATATTTTGTTGTATAAAAAGTGTGTAGAGTATTATTGAAATCCATTACCACAGAAATTCAACCAAAGTATGACATAGGAACACCAACTCGTGGTATATAAAATATATCCAGTTGTCGTTCTTTCTACATATGTCATTGAAAAAGAAAGCAAACGTAAATTGACAGATTTAACAAGTTCTAGATTTAGATAAGGACATTGCAGTCTTCTATATGAAACAATCATCGTTTGACTTACGTTATTTCGAAGTTTCTTTATTTCATCGTCTGTAAGATGTTGCATTAAAAACTTCTTGCTAATAAGTATACACTCCGCTCCATCAGATACCAATGTTGTGCTTGTGGTTTTTGAAAACTTTCCAAAAGCTATATGTTCTAGACCCTAAGATAAAAGCAGGTTTGTTGTGAATTGTTTCAAAAGATTAAAAAAAGATTCGAACTTGCACTATACTGTTCTGTCAATTTTTGGCCTCAATTGCTTAGTATTTTTTACCAATGTTGTTGGATTTAATGGTAAAAGCGTCATGGACCACCCTGAACATTTGAAGTCAATATTGAACGTCTGTTTTAACTTATCAGCGTTATATTCAATTCATTAAAAAATAACCTGTACGTGTACAAATAAAATGTTGTGTATAAATTTCGAAAAAAGCATTTATACTAATATTTTGTTCCTTAAAAACAATGTCATTATATCATGTATATATAGAAGTATGATAAGAAAAATATCTCGTGACCTGCAAAACAATTAAATTCTTTGATCCGTTCAAATTTATATAGCCAATTTGTTACATACAATGGACGTTTCATGCTATTCGGTAAGTTTTATTGGCCCCGGGCTTTCCAAAAGTTATATTTCTATCCGAATAAAATGCAACATCTATTACTGCTCGTGCTTTTCCTGACAATGTTAAACCAATGCATAAAAAATTAAACGAACTACTTGATTTGACTCCTAATTTTATGGTTATATAAACAAAAACGATTTCGAAAACTAAATAATTCTCAATCTTACATGATTGTAATTGCGCACATTTTTTGAATGAAACGTTTCATACAATATGTACTTCGGACAAAAATAATTTAAAAAAATATCTATTTCACAAATGACAACTGATATGTTCCAATTGCCGTAACAACCATCTCGTTCTCTTTTCCTAGAATGTGACCTCCCAAGTTAGACTTAGCACCTGAGTTCACCCCGATTTAAGGTGGGGGTTTGTGTTGCTCAGTCTTTAGTTTGCTATGTTGTGTTTTGTGTACTGTTGTTCGTCTTTTTGTCGTTTTTCGTGTTTTGCCATAGCATTGTCAGTTAATTTTCGATTTATGAGTTTGAATATCTCTTTGGTATCTTTCGTCTCTCTCTTATACATAGAGGCACAAGCATTCGTATCATGGTATAGAACAAGCTATAGTAAACGATATACAATGAAGTAATTGTGCGATTTTAAGATCTCCTGGACTATGATTTACTTGTGAAAATGATGTTAGCGTTTCCGAAGAAGTCATTCATAATTCGTCGCTGGGCTTCCAAAATGTAGTAAATTGAAAATTGTTCAACAACAAAAAATCTCACAAACAGGCTTTGAAAATTTGGTTGAAATATTTGCTTCCAAAATGTTGTATGTGAACTAAAACATTTTTGTAAAATGGCTGTGAAATAAAATCTTGGACATTTCTGGATAATATAAAAAATAACCTCATTTTCACAGAAATAAAGATATCTACAAGTTTTGATTCTCAAAGCCATTATACAACCATTTTCAAGTTTACATACAACATTTTTGAATCAAATAAAGGCAACAGTAGTATACCGCTGTCAAATAGTCGTAAGTCGAATAAGCGAAACAAATCCGGGTCACAAACCAAAACCGAGGTAAACACATCATCTATAAGAGAAAAACGACGGAACAACAGAAATACTGAACTGCTACAAACAATTGACATTGGCAATTCTGTCACATGTCTTATTTACAATGTTCTGATTGGTCTAAATGTGTGATATTTTGCAATATCAAAGATTTCCTCCCGCCAAGCCGGTTTGTGTGAAATAGTAGTTTTTTGGGGAAAAAAGACAGATACGACATTTTGGAAGCCCAGCGACGTTATTGTTTTATATCATAATATGTTGACATCTTCGTGTATCTTGGGTTTTATTTGTCGTTTGGTTGTTGTCTCATTAACGTTTGTTCAACATATCGTCTTATTTATATTATTTAATCATTGCTCAGGTACTTTTTTAAACTCTGGTTCCAATTCTGATGATTGAAATTATGAATTAAACAATCCGCTGACATATCGTATTAACTTAAAATGATCAAATGCTATTTACTGGTAAAAAGAACGTGAAAATACTAACAACAACAAAATGAGAAGTTGCAAATAGAAAAAGTGAAATCAACAAGTTTGCATTAATCTTAGTTTGCTTCATTAAATGATTATTTAGTATAATACTACATTTAGCTTTATACGTTCGTATGTGCCATCTTTGGGAAGAAAGTAAAAGATTTGAAGCCGACTTTATACTCTATATTGTACACTTAAATGTTTCACATGGACTCTATATATATATATATACCTAACATTTTTAAATATTATCCAGTAGAACTTTGCAAAAACTTTTATTAAAGTACTTACATATACGTCCCTTGGTCCTAAAGTCTGTATATGAACAAAAACACTTGTGTACCGATCAGAGGCAGAGCTGCAAGCGCTCTCATTTTTGTGATGATTCAGATTCTGAAATTTGATATATTTGTTACATTAAAATATTAAAAAGTGAATAAGATAATAAAAAGGAAACATAAAGAATTGATTAAGACTTAATTACCAACATACACATGTTTGTGTATCATGGGCCAATGAATGCATGCTGGGTTCCTTATCATACAAACAGCTGTAATCGTTGGACCTGATTTACATTTGTACTACAGCGCCATCTGTAATTAAGGAGGGATAATCTTCATCAATGTCTCTCATTATCGATGATATATTATTTTAACCAGGAACGTTTTCCTAATTACCACAAAGCATCCTATTTACATAATGGTTAGTTAATTTATAGTATGAATCCATTCTGATCCATAAAAACCAACTGTAGATAGGGCCGAATTGTTCAGGTATAAATTAGATTATTCGGTGTTCGGAGTTTATATTATGTCTATGATTAGGAATGTTATTCAAATCGCTATTGCTAATATTAATAATTTCATAAGCGGTACCAATTTTACTACAATGATGCTCAATTCGTTGATGCTCGGGGCCAAAATATTTGAAAATCAAAAACCTCATACAAACGTTGAAGAGCCGGTCAAACGAAAAAGGACCTTAAGTATAGCCAGATCCGGAGAAGGAATCAACCGTCCTTGACTACCACTTACTATAAATATAGAATGCTAGTTACAAAAAATATGTACAGCATGAAAATTATTATAATGGAACAGATTCATAGAGAGTTTTTTATTTTCTACTCCAAAGTTTTATTTTCAAAATTATTGTGCTTTTCTCAATCACTAACAAAAAAGGTTTGCTGAATTGAACTTAAAATTTTCGAATAAAAAAAATTATAACACGTTTACACCATTACATGTATGAGCGGGAAACACTTATGATAGGTTCTTTTTCACATTGGATAGTCTCGACTTGTCAAATGTTTACTTAGATATTTGTTATTCTTAAAATGCGATTTTAACTTAAAAATAAATAACAGATTACAATATGAATAATAGTTATAGAAATAAAGTCTTGTACTATAAAAGATGAACCGGCTTAATACCTTGAGGACAGAAATTTTCTTCACTAATCAGTCTCTTTTTAGCACGCAGACAAAGAAGCATCATTAATGAGTTTTCAGTTTTACATGTCTGAAAAGTCTTATTATTTGTTTTAAATGCCAAAAGCGTTTGCTTTCCTTTGAAGAAGGCTGTCTGTCAATTTATATATTTTGTTTTTAAAAGTGATTAAGATATAAGTTCCTGTCCATACATTTTCATGGAAAAACAAGAAAAAAAAAACAAAAAAAAAAACCTATCCAGAAATCAGTACAAGGAATTTTTATGAAAAAGGAGTAATTGTAGCAAATCCGTTGTTTCATGTTTCATATTTACCGACTTCTATACTGTAAACCAACAAATGTTCGCGCATAACCTATTTCGCTTAGTTCTTTCTAGCCATCTTCACTGCGATTTATTTTCGAGATCTTCTCCTTTTCTTGATATATTTATATAAGGGAATATGCAAGTTCACACATTCGCGACGATTTAAATTGGCATTAATTTTCTACTCGCAAAAGTAGCGACAATAGGTACATATTCATACACATTTTCTAGCATTGAGTACGAAATAGCCTTACTCTTAGTATTGTAGAAACTATATGTATACATATGATTTACTCACCTTTCTATGTCTACTTCCATTATTAAGTTTATGTTTATGAAGTTCATAAATCGCATCAAGATATCTTTTGTGTTCATCAATATTTGCCTTATCTTCAATTCATAAAAAAAATACTTATGTTACAGTAAACTCGTCCAATTAGCGACAAATACGAGCAATATTAGTAATTTTTCATATGAATATTTAAACATCACTTAAAAGTAATAAAAAAAACCACCAAATTAAACAATAAACATTATACAAACACCAAAACATAATGTGTGGTCATACATGTGTATAGTGATGATCTTGTGTGCTTTCGTGAAAGTTTAAATAATTTTCAATGTTACAATATTCACGACATGACGAAGTAAGTGAATTCATGCAACAAGGTCAAGTCTATCTTCTTGTGAATGTTTTGGTTAATAAATTAGTTTCATATAAAAATAAGAAGATGTGGTTTGATTGCCAATGTGACAACTCTCCACCAGAGACCAACTGACGTCGAAATAAACAACTATAGGTCATCGTTCATTCTTCAACAATGAGCAAAACTTATTCCGCATAGTAAGCTATAAAAGACCCCGAAATGACAAATGTAAAATAATTCAAACTAGAAAACTAACGGCCTGATTCATATATAAAACAATAAATAAAAAACAAATATGATATACAGCAACAAAGAGTGTGGCGGGGTTTAACATGTTTGCTGGTACCAACCCAAACCCCTAACCTGGGACAGTGGTGTAAAGTACAGCACAAGAACAAAATATGAAAATCAATTGAAAAGGGCTTAACTCATCTGATCGATACGAAGCAGAAAAAAACAACTAGCCAAAACACAGACCGGATTTGGCAGGGAATTTATACTCCATTCCCTCAAACAAAAAAGACAAAGTTTACTCGCAGTTACTGACAGCTAGCTCTAAGCCAATAACAAGTATAAAAATATCACGTATCTAAGACTAATCATGTATCATGCCCTGTAAAATGCCTGTCCAGTACAAAGCAGTTTAATCTAGTTACTGTAAAAATATTGACAGCTACAAAAATTTCCAATTTAGTATTGCATTTGGAAATTTAATGATAAAAATATGAATCCTTTTTACAGTGTATCTCATCATACACATACTTATATTCGTACATCGAAGCGTTGGTTCGTTGATGTAGGCGAAATGTGGAAAAAAGTAACATGTTATACACCTTTTTTTTATTGTATACTTTATGTAGATAAACCAAAAACAAACATTGCGTTAATTAAACTCAGTGACAAGATCTTTTGCTTTCATTTTGACTTGCGTTTCATTATTATAAACACCGATTGACTCTAGAATAAATAGAAATGTGGAGTAACTGAGACATAAACACACACTAAAAAAACAGCATGCGAAATAAAAAAGAAGCAAAGATACTAAGAGGACATCCAAACTCAAAAGTCGAAAACAAACTGACAATGCTATGGCAAAAAGAAAAGCGACAAAAAGAAAAACAACAGTCTACAAATCACAACATAAAAAAACTAAAGACTGAGCAACACATACCCCATCAAAATGGGTGGGAGGTGCTTTCATGTGCTCCAGAAGGGTAAGAAAATCCTGCTGTTTCACCCGTCGAGTTGCTCATATAAGTACAAATCCGGTGATAAATCTAATTCGGTAGGTCACAGTCGAGGATAAAAGGACGGGATTATGGTTACGACAATTGGCGCATTACCGTTGTCATCTGTGAAACAGATATTCCATAACGGTCAACCAACTCGGGATGGCGTCAGTAAAAGTTTCAAAAGATATTTTTAATTTCAACACGTTGAACTCTAGATTCTATAGCTTCCTTGTAGGCAACAACGCTCTATCAAGGCCGCCGCCGGAATGTTACTACATTGAAATGGAAAGTTTACAATTTGGAATCTGAAATCTCTCTTTTGTCGTTAACTTTTTTTCCCAACCGACCCTCATTGTCAGTTTCTAGATGCAAGTCAAGATATGAGGCAGACTTAACTGTATCTGTTGTATCCTTTATTTCAAGTTCGATGGGATAGATCCGTTCAACATAGTCACCAAACTTTGAATTATTTAGTGAAAGGTCATCATCTATATAGCGGAAAGTGGATAATGCTGGCTTCTTTTCGTACGTCCTTAAACATCATACGGTCTTCGATATTGGACAAGCTCTAAATAGCCACGAGAACTTGTCTAGACTAGTGAATAGATACAGCAAAAATTACTTATATCAACACCACATTTTTTGTTTAGGCAACAGACACACACAACTTTTGATCGGGTGCCTCACCTTTTATAGACACAACCACATGTTGGATAGCTATACATAGACTAGTCATACGAGAATTAAAACTGAATATTATATTACTAGGTACATGTAGAATAGCAAAGAAAGAAAAGGGGCACACAAAGTTTATCAATTAAGAGCACGTATTCCAATTAAGTTGGCATTTAAACACACCCAAAAATCATAAGCTAGATTATATCAAACCAAAGAAAGTTAGCCGCACATTAAAGCAAGCTTACGGTACACAGTCTATTATTCTGCAAAACCATAATTCGTAATATAGAAAAAGTGAAAATAGCTAGTGTCATGGTTTAATGTGATATTATCACGTTTTATTTCTTATCCAAATGTTGAGTTGGTGGCATATCTTTAGGGGTCACCTTAATATTAGTTCACGACCTTTGTAGACTAGGAACGATTTTGTGAGCGCTATTTGTTATACCCAAGTCTGCTTTTATTCAAACATGGACTATTGTATATTTATAACATTCAAAAAATTTTTATTAAGCGAACAACATAACATAAGGTCAGCGGGTTTTTTAGCTTATCTAGTACTGTGACACCATTTTTGCATTCAATTTATTTCTTGATGAGAGTTAAACACGATGTGTGTGATAGGAATGTCTAACATGAAGGGCTACGACCACTTTCAAATATTTGTAAGGACATTTTATATATAAATGGGTGTTCAATTGTAATAACTATACACTGAACAATCTTGATTAATTAGGGAAAAAGCTTCATCTAAATGTCTGGTTCATATTGTAAATGCAGAGCGGTATGTCCAATCAGGAACCAAATAACTTTAATATAATTGAAATGTCATACAACTGAAAAGAAAAGAATCTGTACGACCACGATGTTTATCTTTATTGTATGGTTATATGTCAGATGACCTTTGTTGTTGTCTGTTTGGCAATATACATTTCATTTTCTGATACATGAACATAAATGTTTAGAACAATTATAAGTAACGAAGATTCAAATTACAAATTGCATTTTATTAATAGTTTCTGTTCCTTTTAACAGACGTAAAATACATCGTCTCTGTCTAATTTTGTAGCTTGTATGACACCCTAAAGAGATTAATTCGCTTGATAAATATCAGTTTGTTGTGCAATACATGTTACAAATGATTATTTATTTTGCAACACAAACCAGGAAGTATATTAATTTGATAGAGGAAAGACATTTTTAACATGTAAAGTGTTGACTAAACACTATGTTCATGGTAGGTTCGAAAATAAATAAGCTTATAATTTGATTTACAGAAAGTACATACCCACGCATAAGGGCCCTCTTAATATCTTCACTATATTCTCTGATGAGCATCTGGTCGACTTTTTTTTGTAATGTGTTAGTTCGTCTTGTCTGGAAAGAGATTTTACTGTATCTAAACGTGGAACTGAAATATACAAAAATGATCTAATGATCAAAGTCAATATTTGGCACCTGAATATGAAAAAAAAAAAACGATTATTCAATTTTTGAATTAAAGTTAATTTTATTGATAGATAAATATGTTTACTCGTAATTGTAGAAATATCATGTGTGACGTGTCAACGTATTTGACCATAAATTTCTTATTTAGACATGTTGGTCAAAATAAAATGAGCAATTATAATTTAACTAAAAAGATGTTTTATTTTCTTAAGCATTTTTACATTCGACATTTAGTAACAAAACATGTTTTGGTGTAACACTGTTGCATATATGTAGGACTCGGAACCGCGATGGTACTCCGAACCGCGATGGTCACGCTGAAATGAGATGGTTTGACGCTGAAATGCGTTTTTGATCACGCTGAAGTGCGATGGTGGCATTGTGACGCTATCTTATTTGTAACTACGCCGAAGTGCGATGGTGGTTACGCTGAAGTGCGATGGATTACATAAACTATATTTTCGATGTCGATGAAATAGTCAATTTGTTTGTTAAAAGCAGCTTTTCATGTTTATTAAGTAAATCATCAAGCATATTTACCCGTTTAATTAAACACAGTCATGATAAATAATTCCAGTCCTAATCGTAACGTTGAAGTTTTATCACTTTGGACAAAAATAAGCCAACGTTCATACAATTATTCAAGACGCTACATACAAAGGTTATTTTCTATAAAAACCAGTGCTAATTTTAATGACCGAAAATGTAATAGCTGTTTAAAATGCAATATAATAAGGGTCGTATAAACTTATCACCGTCAGTGGTTTTTAATGCAACTGGAGAAAATATGGAATGTTTTTGCATTCTAGTATTCGACATGAATACAACTTGTAAACAGATTTTTAATACTACTGGTAAAGGGAAATAATTAGTAGACAGGGGAAATTTAGATAATTTAGATCCTTTTTCGAAATCTACAGAACATTCGTTTTTTTACGTACGATGGAGCTTGCAATTCTGTAACTACAAATGGGTCCGGAGAGAGACTTTCCGTATTATGATATTACGGTAAACGAGGAACTCATGAGAGCTGAGAACTGAGATTACGTTATTAATAAGATAAACTGTTAAAGCAGAATGATGTCCCCTATTATTTAGTATGAAACTGTAACTAATGACATTTATAGACCATCGCACTTCAGCGAACAGACCATCGCACTATGCGAAGACCATCGCACTTCAGCGTCCCCATCGCACCTCCGAGTCCTACATATATGTAATGAAAATCTCTCAATTTTTTGTCGATTTAAAGCTATTTTGTTGTAGTTTGTCCTCCAATGAAAGAGTTCCTATAGCCTAAAGCAAAAATTCAAACAATTGTTTGATGGATTGGTAGAAGGATTGATGGGTCGATGGATTGGTGGCTAATTGCCATTTCAAAAATATGCACACATATGAAGGACGCTATTCAAAGACAGTTCATTAGTAACAAATAATGACAATGCATTAAAGACAAATATATTTAATGTATACTTTGTGTAGGATTTGGAGTAATAAATAGACGCATTATGATCCCTAAATGTCTTTCAATTAGGATTTAGTTACAGTCATTACTTTTGATATCTTTACATCAATGCATTATGAAATGGTTTGATGGACGTTTTAGTAATATTAATCTGAATGAAGTTATTGTAGCAAAATTGTCATTTTAGAATACAGGTTTTTAAGGAATGACACTGGTTGCATGCCAACAACAGTATAAGAGACGAGAGGCGAAAGATACAAAAGGGATATTCAAATATTCCAAATTATAAGTTGAAAACAAATTGAGAATGCGATGGCAAAAAAAATTAAATATATAAAACGATCAAAAGACAAACAATATAAAAATCACAAGATAGAAAACTAAAGACTGGGCAAAACACACACCCCATCAAAAATCTGGGGTGGTCTTAGGTGCACCGGAAAGGTAAGCAGATCCTGCTCCACATGTGGCACCCGTCGTGTTACTCATATAAGTGCAAAGCTGGTCATAAGTCTTATTCGGTTGGTCACATTCGTGGAAAAGAGGACGGAATTGTTGTTAAGACAATTAAAACATATCCGTTATCATCTGTGAAACTGATATTCCATAATGGTAAATCAACTCGTGATGCCCTCCGTAAAATTTTCGAAGAGATGATTTCAACTTCATCAATAAAAAATCGTTGTTTGTCAAAGGTAAACAAGCGGCTATAAAATATGTCATGCTGTAAAACAGATGTTAAGAAATTTAACAGGGATTAACAATCATCTGCAATTTATCCCTAGTGCCCGAAGTCATATCAATCGGAGGATTCTGATAAACAAAATCTTAGTTTCTTCTACTAAGTTGTTTAACCCTCTCCCTTCCCAATTAGAAGTACACAGTTGTACAGTATATATAAAATACACAAACCAGAAGAACACTTCCTCTGGATAGGAGATTAGGCTCCTGATTGGGAAAGTAAAATATCAATTGAAACATTCGCGCGTTAATCATTTCAAGACACAATTGCTGTCCCTATCATGTAGAGTCCTCATTTCTAGTGACGTCCACCGATTCCGATGGTTCCACTTTGCAAAACTTATATATTTGCTGTATTATTTGATATGTAATAGTTCTAAACATGCATGAAATGTCTGCAGTTGGACGTTAAGAAAACAACTATTCATCAGTCCATCCTATTCCCTTCGTGACAAGAACATTAAAAGGACATATCAAGCTACGATGTAGACAAAAAATAAAGTATTTGTTTTGTTTTGTTTCAAATATTTATAAAAAGCGGAATATTCAAATAATAATTCAGTATTAGCAACCAGTTTGTTCATTTTTGTAAAAAAAAAATCAAAACATAACAAAATATTATTGTCTTGCAAGACAATAATTCGACATACTTTGGGTCAATATGAATCCAATCTTTGATTGGACTCTTAGATGGAGAAGGGTTGTGTATGTGCTCAGCATGTTCAGTTATTAAAAAGAAAAAGAATGTCATAATTGAAAAGTGAAATAAGGGCCGCCAGGAAGAATAAAAAGAGGTGGAAAATCTAAAGGAGACATTAAAAACGTTTCAGTCGATCTGAAACTGACAACGTCATGGCAAAACAGAAAAATGACGAAAATAAACAAGTTTACAAAAAAAAAAGGTCTTGGGATGTCATCTAGGGCAATACGATACAGTTACAGGAGAGATAATAACGTCGCTAACGTAAATATTATTTTTCGAGACGTCAAACTACATGACATATTTGGAAAATTTTCGACGCGTTTTAATTATGAGCTTGAAAACGAGTGCATTGGCCCCTATTTTTTTTAAATGACATATGGCTAGATTATGTACGAAGATTATTTGTACCAATTTTTATGAACAAATCACCATTAATTTTTTTAACTTAGATGAATATGCCACGAAAAAATGTGTTTTTTCTTATCTAAAACAAAACTATGAAAAGTTAATATAATTGAACTATTTCCAAAACAGATTTAGAGTATACTTATGTAAATAGGATATTTCATATGTTTTTACATAAATCCTTGTAATAACGCAGGAAATCTGGTATAATACAATAGTTTCACATATTTAAGGTAAGCACGGATCATTGTTCGCTAGAGTACCAAGTTTGTTTACTGTTGAACGTAATTCGAAGAACCTCCCGCACATTATATCTAGGACACTGCGTAAGGAATTAATGTTAAGACAACAATACTACTTTATGCGATAACAAGTCGAAATATCCTGACAAGGGGTTTATATAAAAATTTACCTTTGACCATATCAAATTGAAACTTAGACAATGGCTTTGTATCATGCAGCTCTGTTAGGACTCGACAACTTCCCGACTTGATAATGTAAATCCATTCTGACATGTTACTGTTCCGACAAAGTAATACGCCTCGTCTGGAATTAGATAGACATAATGACTTAAAACAAGAAGGATTTCGAATGAGAATTTTACAACCATGTAAAGCTTAAAAACAAATATGACTTTTTGTTAAGAGGATTCAAAAGTTGACGGCAGTTGTAACCCCCTGCCTTTCTGTATCTTAATATTACTAAATAATTTTCAAAATAGACATCTGCAAATGCAATTTGACTTTCAAAATAGAAAACTTGAAATGATGTAATTTGTAATAAAATGAACAGTAATACAATAGATGTAAATGAAAAAAAACATTTTAAATATACATGTACATAGTAAAAGTATTAAAATGTAACATCGTGATTTTCGACAAGTAGAGTAAAATCAGACCACAAGAACATTCTGAGGTTTCCGTGTACCTGAAAGCTACAAAACAGCGTTCAGAATTTTTTTAACGATACATATACACGATTGTAATGCTGTTCAAAATGATTACAAAACGACACCCATCGCGAACGTCTACATTGGCTTTGGGCATAAATATCAAAATGAAATTGCTCACTTATTTTTACCTCCGCCCTTGCGTTTGTTTGAAAAGAAATTAAAATACCAAACAATGTGGTAGTTTCTCAATATGATTGATTGATATGTTGCTTGCTTAACGCCTAGTGGCCTAGTGTTATCATTATCCAAGCTCGGTACCAAATATCAAGAAGTTCTGTGTTAAATATATACATACATGCGGTAACAAGAAGTAGATATGTAACTGATCTGCTTATGAACCGTGGTCACAAACATCAAAAAGCTCTGTGTTAATAATATAACGGCAACAAGAAGTAGATAAGTAACTGATCTGTTTATGAACCGTGGTCCCAATTATCAAGAGGTTTTGTGTTAAAAATATACATGCATGCAGCAACAGGAAGCAGATATGTAACTGATCTGTTTATGAACCGTGGTCCCAAATATCAAGAAGTTCTGTGTTAATAATATACATGCATGCGGCAACAGGAAGTAGATATGTAACTGGTCTGCTTATGAACCGTGGTCCCAAATATCAAGAAAATTCTGTGTTAAAAATATGCATGCATGCGGCAACAAGTAGTTGATATGTAACTGATCTGCTTATGAACCGTGGTCCCAAATATCAAGAAAGTCCTGTGTTAAAAATATGCATGCATGCGGCAACAGGAAGTAGATATGTAACTAATCTGTTTATGAACCGTGGTCCCAAATATCAAGAAGCTCTGATTTGTAGTTTCCAAGAAAATGAGATGAAAAGAACATACATTATAAATGCCTTAAACAGGAAATAGATTAGGAACGGATCACACAAAAAAATGTCATACGTTGTAATGTATCAATTGCAATATAAGTTAACTTCCTAACATCAAGACGCTCTTGTTTCAAGTTGCTGAGAAAATGCGACAATTGTTTCTTGTGAAAGAACTTGCGGATTCTAGGACGGATCAAGAAACGAAAGGGTAGACGGACAGATGTAAAATAATATACATGTACTCCTTCTTTTTGAGTAGGTTTTTGATTAAACGGTGTAGGATTTTAAGCTCTATTATCTCCATATTCAAAAATATTGAAACGTGATTAGACCCAGCAAACAGTCGGTTCAATTCGTTTGATGTTTTTGAGCTTTTGAGTTTGCTATTTGATAAGGGACTTTCCTATTTGAATTTTCCTTGGAGTTCGGTATTTTTTTATTTTACTTTCTAGTTCTTGAAGAACAAGTATTGTGAAATTATAGACGCAAGAAATAGAGGGAAATAGATATTAAATAATCTAATTTAAGAAACCATTTTGCAGCTAATTATATACAAGTAAATATTTTTGTCGATCATATTTCAAAGAATTCGTGAATATTCAAATTTAAAAAAAAATGATAATCAATGCAATATATATCTAATTTTTAAAAACATGTCTAAATTGTTTTGTTTAAACATACCCACAAACATAACGTTACATTTACAAAAATAGAGCGATGTATTTTACTACATTTTATATAATGAATGTTCATCCACAATAATATGACTGTATTTGTGATATTTTACAATTATTGACTTTTGAGGAGGTTGATATTATCAGATTATTACATGGCATTTTTCATATCAGATGTATTATCAGCCCAAGGTTCAATATCAGCCAAGAGCCGAAGGTTCGAGGGCTGATAATACATCTGATATGAAAAATGTCATGTTATGATCTTTTTATCATATGCTTCAACAATGGAGAAAAGTAACAGTTTAATATATAATTAATCCTTTTAAGTGGTTCTCAAGTAGAAGTTCAAAAAGTGAAAAGTTTACGGACGTCGGACGCCAAATGTAATAAACCGATATGAAATCTTTCTATCATATGCCCCAACAGAGGAGAAAAACAACAGTATTATATATTTGTTTATATTGACGATAAAAAAAATCGACAAAACATAATGAACACTGTTTGGAAAAGTCAACATTTGTAAGTTACTTTCTAAATTATGCATGAAACTTTGAAAAATGCATTTATTGTATCATTAATTTTGTTTTTTTGCATTTTACATAATACATTTTCCTGTTTCCTAATAATTGTTTTGTACCCTACTTTGTTATGTTTTTCTCTGAAAACGAACCATTGCGGTGTATTTTCCGGAATTTGCCGAGTAACGTCGATAACGTTACGGAAAGGCATGTGATAATTGCTGGAGGCATGTGATAAATTTTTCTTATCATATACTTGTAGAAAAAAATGGTATAATTGTACCCCTTGATAAAACTAATTTATACATATATTTATCATATACTTGTATAAAATATTACTAAAATTTTACAGTTCAATAACATTTAAAAATATTAAAAGGCTATGAAAGGATTACTAGGTTTATTGATCAGATTCCTAAGAATTTCCTCAGCGGACAGATAAAGGAACCTTTATTGACTGCTTCCGGAATGTTATCACATGCCTTTCCGTTAATTTCCGTGACGTTTTGTTCGAAACGACAACACAGTGCGGAAAACCGCAAGTGATTTAAGACTTTTCACAAAATGGTTGAGGCGCAAATTTCAAACTAAGAACATGATAATTGTTGTGACAAGATAAATAAAATGCTTGTAATATCAATAAAAACAGTTAAAGTTAAGAAATTTGTATTTGGTTGTCTGTAATTTATTATCTAAAAATTCATGGAAAGACAAAATTATAATTAATAGTTCTTGTCTGTATTTCTTCTGTTGAAGTATACGATAAAAAGATAATTACATGTCATTTATCATATCAGACCCTTTATCGGCCCTCGTTCATGATATCAGCCCTCGAGCCTGCGGCTCTTGGGCTGATATCATGACCTAGGGCCGATAAAGGGTCTGATATGAAAAATGCCATGTAATAATCTATACTTATTCAATAAATTTGAAGAATTGTCTTAGCCGTGTGATATGACTTCTGTTATCAACTGCTTCCGGTATATATCAAATGTTTCCGGTTTATATCAACTGCTTCCGGTTATTATCGCATGTCTTTCTTTAACGTAATCGCAAAGCATTTCGACGTCATTCTGCAAATTCCGGAAAATAAACCTCAGTGGTACATTTAAGTGAAAAAGATAGCCAATTAGAATAACAGAAGGAATATTAGGAAACAGGAAAATATATTATTGAAAAAACGCAAAACAAATAATACAATAAATGAATTTTATAAAGTTTTAAAAAAGTTTTCATGTCTGTATGGCTTCTGCTGAAGTATATGATAAAAAGAACATAACATGTCATTTTTCATATCAGACCCCTTATCAGCCCATGGTCAAAATCATCCCTCCAGCCTGTCGGCTCTCGGGCTGATATCATGACCTAGGGCTGATAAGGGGTCTGATATGAAAAATGCTATGTTATAATCCATATATATCAGCCCGCTAAACACCATTTCGGAAAATATGGAATTCACATAAATTTAATGCTATTACAATGTATCATACTGTAAAAATTATAAGTTATTTACTCTAAGCATATGATAAAATGATTTATCAACCCCAGAGTAATGATATTCACCGATGCCATATGACTTTTTACCCTTCTCCAATTTTCTAGTATTTGCTCATGATACTTTTAAAACTGCTCCCCTTTTTTTATACTAAATATATCATCTGCTTTTGCAGTTGCTAATTTTCATAAGTTGAAACATCCAATAAAGTTTACTAAAAATAATACAACGAAAACATGAAGAAGTGAAAAAATACACCGAAATCAAGAAGAAAAAGATAAAAAAAAAAAACGGGAATTTAAATGACGTCATAAACCTACGTCATTGATGTTGCCTTGGAATATCTATATTCAGGTACACGGACGCTTTTCCAAATCTTATATTAACCTCTCGTGATTTTTGCCGCGGTGAAAATAATGTTTTATCAAAGGGGATTTCCTAAGCTTTTTACAAATGGGAAAACAGAAAATTTATAGTAATATAATAAATAAAGAAAATAAGTATTATGATTGCCCGCCTACATGTAACTGTACCAGTGACACTGGGGACATGCTTAATTCTGTGATGCGTTCAATTGGGCGGAAATGTCGTGCTCTCATAATTCAATATTTTTAGAACAACATCACTTCAAAAAGATTTTTGATCTGAAAACTTAGTCTCGACTCAAAAATCATGTAAGTAGAAGTGTACTTATCTTGTGCATGTAGGGTTCGAGATTTTAAGTCTTGTAATTTTAAGATTCGTACAGGAATACAGATGGCAACGACATTTACAAAAGTGGGAGATTCTGCGCGACGTTAAGGTGACTGTGTTCACCGTTTGCACATGAAAAGTGCATGTTTTAAATCAGAAGTATGACTTTTTTCAGTTGTTTCTTCAAATTTCTATAATTTCTGTAACTGATTTTGGATTTTACATAGAGTATTTGTAGTACAGTTGTTGTTTTAATTCAAATGTTCTTTTTTATAATCCAACATTTGAATTTTCGCTATTATAGGTGTTGATTATTTGATGTAAGTAAGCTGGTTAACACAATGTTTTAAAATTCAGACAACTAAAAGGTAGATAAAGACTATGTTTTGCATATTTAAAAAGATACAAGTAATACAAGTAACACAAGTAATACAAGTAATACTGAAGACTGCATAAAGAAAGGAATTGTTTGAGATTAGACTTAAACAACTAAAATTAATGGATTTCTTTCTCCTCCACCCACCTGACATGTGTGACATATGAGTTATTTGTTCGATGTGATTGCCTGTCTTACCATTTAAAATATAGAATAAGGGGATGTGGTATGAATGCCAATAAGACAATTATCAAACAAATGACGTGGATTTAAGCAACTATAGGTCACAATTCGGCCTTCAACATTGCGCAAATCAATACCGTATAGTCAGCTATAAAAGGCCCCGACATGACAAAATGGGGAACAATTCAAATAGAAAAACTAACGGACTGATTTTTGACAAAATAACAAACAACAAACAAATAGTATCAACTAACGACAACTACTGAATTACATGTGATTGCCTTGAGACAGACACATATGTGCGCACTCAACGCCCCCACCTCTCAACCTGGGACTGTGATGTAACAGCACAACATAAAAAACCTGTTAAAATCAGTTTACTATAAACCAACCTAAAGTAGGTAAAACAGCATATTTTCGGATCGTGGTAAGGTAGCTTGTGAATAGGCCAACCACTGAGCGAAGTTACAGTTCTCAAAAACTTTATATGCTCTGGTTCCTTTTCATATGTATGGGGCATAAAAATATCAACAAAATCTTCCCGCCATACTGCCAACAGTTCAACTTCACTTTTACACGTCACCGTTGCAGTTCTTCTGGAACCATGCATCAAAGCCAATTCCTTTTAAAAAAAAATAATGAAAATTTCATATATTAGTTTATGCATACAAATAAAAATAGGAAGATATGGTATGATTGCCAATGAGACAACTCTCCACAAGAGACCAAAAGACACAGAAATTACTAACTATAGGTCACCGTACGGCCTTCAACAATGGGTAAAATCCATACCGCATTTGTAGCAATAAAAGGCCCCGACATGAAATATATAAAACAATTTAAACGAGAAAACTAACGGCCTGATTTATGTACAAAATAATGAACGAAAAACAAATATGATATACATCATCAAAAGACAACCACGGAATTACAGGCGCCTGACTTGGGACAGGCACATACAGAATGTGGCGGGGTTAAACTAGTTTGTTGGCGCCAACCCGCCCCCTAACCTGGAACAATGGTGCAACGGCACAACACAAAAGCAAACTATACATAACAATGAACGATAACAAATATGAGAAACAACAATAAACGACAACCACTGAATAACAGGCTCCTGACTTTGGACAGGCACATATAGAATGTGGCGGGGTTAAACTAATTTGAAGGCGACAACCCTCCCCTAACCTATCCATTTGAAAAAATGTAACCAATTAACCGGTATTTAATTGATATAAATGAGTCAGTCAGCTGATATATTGATATTTTATGTAATGTTTCAACTTAATACAATGCAAGAACATGCAAATTTGTGAGATATAACATCTGCTTTGTTCTATACTGACATGGCAACCCGAGTTTAAATGTTTCAGAAATCAAGGCAATGGCTGGCAAAATACATGTAACAGTTTGTCTGACAACGATTCAACCAGTCTTTCTTCTTACACTGAAGCAATATGTTTGGCGCAGGAAGAACAAAAGCAAAGACTTTGATGGAGTTCGTGTTGCTAGTGGGGTTCGTGTTGTTCAGTCTTTAGTTTTCTATGTTGTGTTTTGTGTACAGTACTGTTGTTTGTCTGTTTGTCTTTTTCGTTTTTAGCCATGGCATTGTCGGTTTATTTTCGACATATGAGTTTGAATGTCCCTTTGGTATCGTTCGCCTCTCTTTTGACTGTCCCAGTCGTAGTTGGAATACTAATTTGATTTTATGCATGTTTGCATAGCTATTATATTATGCATGTGCATAAAAACATTTGATTTTTGCATGTTTGCTTACTAATTATATTATGCATGTGTTTTTATTTGTATGTGTAGTTTGTCAAATGTGCTAATAATTTGTTATTTGTTTTTAAATATCAAGTCGGTTAGGAGCTCTACAGAGCTCATGTTTACCTTGTTGAATTGTACATATCATGCCCGACTCTAAATAACATTTACTTACTTACTTACTTACTCGACCTCCTATACGCTATCACGTGACAAGAAAACTATAAGCTAAGAAACATATAGGTTATTTGTATCAATTAGTTTAAAAAGCAAAACTAGTTTTTTTTCGGATTCTATATACATGTTACGTTAGTTTGTAAAGGTCATGATTTGGACTGATTAAATCTGTAAAGGAATACGTAATTGTCTAATTATTTCCTCAAATGTTGGTGATCTAATTAAAGGGGATAATAACCTTCTCGTTCTATAGAAATAGTCCTAATTTAGGTTTTATTACTGAAAGAAACTAATTTACAATGTTATAATATCGTTCAGTAATTACCATAGAATGGCATATACTAATTGAGATATACGGTAGTCCTATAGTAAAACGATTAAGAAACGGATCAAATAGCATCAGCCTATAAAATCTGAACAAATACATTCTTATCCATGACGGACATTTTAGTTTGTTCCTATAATTACACAAGCATCACTTATGTTAATCAAGAATGGGGTAAACAACTGCTTGTATGCCACTATAAGCTGATATAATACCCCAAAACTGTTCCCTTTCTTCAGCACAGCCTTAGTTCTTACTACTTCATCTTCTGTTTCATCATCTGTTTCCATCAAAGTAACAATAGCTGTTATAAAAGATCACGATTTATAAGTACATACTTTCATTGGGTTAAATTCATTATTCGGTTACTTTTGATATACTAGTAATTATTAATTGTTCATTGAAAACAAAAACATATTAATTTAATAAATATACATAAAATATAAAAACATTAAATAGAATAAATTTCATACTCAGTATTTCATTTTAATGACATTTTTTGTGTTGATTAACTCTAATATTTAATTTATTATTTAAATTATGTATCTGGTTTATCGAGAATAAGTATAGACATGGGTCAAATATTAAAACCGAATTAGCAAGCGAAAATGCATGTGCAACAGGTACATTACTCAAGTGAATGTACTGATCATGGCAGCAACATGTCAAGTAATCTGTCCACATATCAATACGATAGCATTAAAATATAATGGATTTCACCTCAGTTAATTTTTAGGCAGTTAAGCTGCCTTATGCGAGCACCCTAGATTTGTGTTCTACCAAATAAATGCTGAAATACTTGCCATTGTTATTATCTAGCTGGCTATTATGTTATTTATAACTAATTGGACATTTTTTTAATACTTATATTTCTGGAATACAAAAAATATGACCAGAAAAACCTTAAATGATCGTCGAACTACCCAAAACTTTTGAAGTTGCACATAGGAAGTAGTGCTCAATAGAAATCCGTACGTAGTTTATTATCCCCTGTGCTTTTGGCTACGATGTCAAAGAACAATTGTATGAAATATTTCATCGCCGAAAATCGGTAATTACAAGTAGTTTATATTTCCCAAAAGGCAAAATGCGCAGGAATATTGTTCGTGTACAACAAATCTCTATGATAGAGGAAATAAAGTTATATAAGTGGGCGGTAATTTTTAACTTATCTTGCCAAATAAGGTTGTTATTATTTTATGAATGAAACGAGGTCATGAAACAGATGCGGAAATCGACGTTGATGTGATGTTTTAAGTAATGTGGACAACTCGTCCCCGAGACAAGTCGGACCGAATCCACTCAAACCGTCTAAGAAGACAACTTTGACCGTTTGTCAGATTTACTTAGGGTTTCATAAAATATTAGACTAACATGTCTAGCGGAGCCATTAATCTTTTGTTTGTGCATTGGGGTCTGTTTAGGGGTATTTGGAGGGGCCTGAAGAAGGGAGGGGTTTACTATAGAACCCTATGGGATTTTATTTTTTAAATTTTCAAATGACTATTTCTCGAAAACAGTAAGTGATAGACACATGCAGTCTTCAGTAATGAAAACAGGACAATAAAAAAATCATCCAAAATATAAGGGGAGTCCCTAGGGTCACCTCAACCCCTTCTATTTGAGAACTTGTAAACGGTCGAGATCCCCACCCCTAAACCATATATATTCATGTCTGGGACAATATAACAAATCAAATGAAATATATGGGGAGTCCCTGGGGTCACCCCAACCCCTCCTGTTTGAGAACTTGGAAATGGTTGAGATCCCCACCCCTAAACCATATACATTCATGTATGGGACAAACAAACAAATCAAAAGAAATATAGGTGGAGTCCTTAGGGACACCCCACCCCCTCCTGTTTGAGAACTTGTAAACAGTCAAGATCCCCACCCCTAAACCATATATATTCCTGTATGGGACAATATAACAAATCAAATGAAATATATGGGGAGTTCCTTGGGTCACCCAACCCCCTCCTGTTTGAGAACTTGGAAATGGTCGAGATCCCCACCCCTAAACCTTATATATTCATGTATGGGACAATAAAACAAATCAAATGAAATATAGGAGGAGTCCATAGGGACACCACACCTCCTCTTGTTTGAGAACTTGTAAACCGTCAAGATTCCCACCCCTACACCGTTATATTCATGTATGGGACAATATAACAAATCAAATGAAATATATGGGGAGTTCCTTGGGTCACCCAACCCCCTCCTGTTTGAGAACTTGGAAATGGTCGAGATCCCCACCCCTAAACCTTATATATTCATGTATGGGACAATAAAACAAATCAAATGAAATATAGGGGGAGTCCATAGGGACACCACACCTCCTCTTGTTTGAGAACTTGTAAACCGTCAAGATTCCCACCCCTAAACCGTTATATTCATGTATGGGACAATATAACAAATCAAATGAAATATATGGGGAGTTCCTTGGGTCACCCCACCCCCTCCTGTTTGAGAACTTGGAAATGGTCGAGATTCCCACCCCTAAACCTTATATATTCATGTATGGGACAATAAAACAAATCAAATGAAATATAGGGGGAGTCCATTGGGACACCACACCCCCTCTTGTTTGAGAACTTGTAAACCGTCAAGATTCCCACCCCTAAACCGTTATATTCATGTATGGGACAATATAACAAATCAAATGAAATATAGGGGAGTCCCTGGGATCACCCCAACCCCTCCTGTTTGAAAACTTGCAAATGGTCGAGATCCCCACCCCTAAACCATATGTATTCATGCATGGGACAATATAACAAATCAAATGAAATATAGGGGAGTCCCTGAGGTCACCCCACCCCCTCCTGTTTGAGAACTTGTAAACGGTCGAGATACCCACACCTAAACCATATTTATTCCTGTTCATCAATTTCAAGAAGATTTGAATGACATACAGTGTCAATCTCTTATGTGTCACATATGCATATCACTTTACTAGACCAAACCAATATGAACTGGACTTTGCCCAATGTCAGGAGACCATGGGAATGACGAATTATAGGGGCTTTGTTTAGGAGACTTCGTCACGGCATCCTGTTACAATTATTTCTTGTTTATCATAAAATTTTATTGATGCAAAAAATGAGTCTAGGTTAATTGAATTTACTTTAAATATTTCCTATAATAATTTTCATTTATGGCTCATTTTAAAGAAAGCATATAAATCTTTCAAGATGTGTGAAGCCCGAGAATGTTTGACCAACTGTTTTATAATCACCTGTCATTTTATTCCAAACTTGGTATGGAGTAACATCATACACTTGGGGGTGAAGATGGGGGTCATTTACATTGATATATGAGTTGCTTTTGACAACCTTGATGAAATATTAATTAATTTGCCTTAAAAATCAATTTATTTAATGAACATAAATGTACAATATACGAATGTTTAATGTTTGTTCTTTCAAATCTTAAAAAAAATTGAAGCAACACTGCCACAGTTTTCATAATTACGTTTGCCTTGGTTTTTGGTTAACTGCCTACAGCGCTTACAGTGCTTTGATTAAATCACATGAAGGTATTATCAATGATTTGGGATGGTCATTGCAGTCATACTATAGCTCTCTCCCTCTGTGTTCGATAGATTTTGATTGATTGATTGAAATACCGATGTTTGTTAAACGTCCAGTGACAAATATATTATAAAGATTTTGAAATATATTGTCAGACTTCGTATTACAATGAGAAAACGTAAATAAACTACGATATATGAGCATTGCAACTTTAATCGTTTATTTTTGGAGATTTATACAACTCAGTTGGACTATTACATCTACATTTCGATGAAACTGAGAAAGACTAATAAAATGACACCAATCAAATACTTGGTCGTGTAAAACGTTTTTTTATGAAAAACAAACACACAGTGTTCAGACTTTTTAACCAAATGTGTATGTTAAATGTAATAAAAAAAAAGACAAAATAGAGGTCAATTTTCGGATCCTCGGTTTATACTTTTTACGTAAAACAACTAGTTCCCTTAACGTTGCTAAGGAACAAATATCTATTTTCTCTTACATGTATGACCTCATAGTTGATTATTTAATCCACAAAACTTCTATCGATTTTGACCCTGTAACTGAAATTGATTAGGAGAAATTGGCCCTTTCCGTTTTACATATACAATTAGGTTGTTATAATTATCTTTCCTGCATTAAGTTTATTTACTACATCTTTTTCAAACCAGACTAAAAAAAAAGGCTGTTATTTTCGCATTTATATTATCAATTGCAACGAACCTAGGCTGCATGTTGCGATTGTGAATTATTCGTTTCAAATTTTGAGGATTTCGGAAATGATTTTGTGAAAAGGGCTAATATATTAATACTTCTCTCGTATACGTGTACCGTTTCCTGATAAAATGAAGTAAAAATTATCTGCAACATGGCCCTGTCGAATAATGACTCTCTTGTCTTCATATCTGTAAATACAAATACATCTGCATTTATCAAGTAGTGTCATTTCATGATGTATGAATACAAAGTCACGATTGGCCGGCTGGATCCATTATCTCCGTAATGCACGAATACTTTGAAACAGGACATACATATGTATCTTTCAGAGATGAGAGTTTGCTCCAGTCACTTGGTTATACCAAATACTGTTATTTGATAGTGTCTGCATCGACAGAATTATGACAATAATAAAAATAAAATAAAATAAATAAATAATTATTTTATTATAGTGTCACATATTTGATCAGACAATATATATGTATACAACAATTAATAATAAAAACAGAGATCAAATATCCAGCCTTTGAATAGACTTATGAGACACTTTAAAACTTATCAGACAACTATACATTTATATAAAAAATATATATCCTTATAAAATTCAAAAATAATTACTGGTTTATCACATTAAGTAAACTTCTTTTAAAATATTTACTAGTAAAATTTTCAATTAATATTAGATAGATGATATTGATAAAAGGATTACAAATTAAAAACATTAGCAATGGTTAAAAGGAAAAACAATTTTGCCAAAAGACGAATAAACTACTTTAAAAAACAAATAAAAAAACAATATATTTCTAGGGCAACAAAATTAATTTAAATGTGATTAATATTAAATACATGGATCTAAATAAAAGATATGTACTAAAAAGTAACAATAGTAACCATAATAAAGAGACTTTAAAAATATAACTATGAAAAAATATATGTTAACATTCAAATAAATTTCTTTCTTCTCTGATAAAAATTGAAAAGTGCGTATGATAATGAGGATTGCATGTCTTTACATTTCATAAGACTGATAAATTGACTGTCAATATCTAGAGTATCAAAGTTTTCTATAAAGTTTTTGGCTCGAGAAAATAAATTATATCTTAAGTCATCATACATAGTGCAGTTCATTAGAAAATGTTTTTCGTTTTCTATGACGTCATTCGGACAGAATTTACAACTTCTTTCATTAACTGGTATTTGCGGTCGTGCGTATCGGCCTGTCTCGATGGCCAACGGGAGCGATCCACTTCGGAACAGGGCAACAACTCGTCGGACCGATCTCGGCAACTGTAGTTTCAAATATTTTTCTGTTTCTACTTTTTCTTTGTATAGTCTATAAGTACGTAGTTTATTGCCGTTTGAATTATTTTTGTCATTAAACAGTTCGCTAACAAATTCGTCATTGTCTACATTATCTACGCGCTCATAAATTGTTCTCATCGCAGTTTTTGTCGTAATGCTATTATCGTTGACTATGTCCGTAGCGTTAATCTTTTGTATCATTTTGCTAACTTGGTAGTACCATCCCTTACGCCTATTTGCAATCCATGCTGATATCTTACGGGTAATACGGACATCATCAGATATAGTAATTCGACACATCAGACGAATACAAGCAATACGTTGTTTGGTAAAACACGAGGACCATCCAATGTCACCTCTGACGGCGGTATCTGATGTATATTTACCGGCTGACAGGAATAACTTAGATGCTTTATTCTGAATCGAATTAATCATTGAAAATGTTTTAGTTCCCCAAATGCCTGCTCCGTAGAATAAAACGGGTTCTACCATAGTGGAATATAATTTTGTGTACACACTGTGTGACATTCTACCAGCACTAATAAACTTTCCATAAAGCGCGCCTAGTGCCCTGCTTGCTGACTTCGAAAGTTCCTTAACTGCTTTGTCCATAGTCAAATGCTCGTCGCACCATATACCCAAGTATTTGTATGAAGAAGTGTACTCAATATCCAAGTCAGAACATTTAAAAGGGAAGTCCGATCGACTGACAGGTTTATTCCTGAAATGCATAACATTACTTTTGGTTGGATTTATATCAATTTTCCATTCACGGCACCACTCCGAAACAGTATCTAACATCTTCTGGAGACTTTCCTCGTCCGGAGCAATCAATGCAATGTCATCTGCATATACAAGTATACTCAGAATAGTATCATCGATGAGAACACCACAATGTAGATTATTGATACGTTCAGCAAGGTCGTTGATGTAGGCGGCAAATAATGTGGGAGACGATAAACAGCCTTGCTTACATGTAACTCCGCAGTCCTCATTAAACCATAGTGTATGTCTGTCATTGAAACGAACTGTACATCTAACATTTTCATATAAGGACTGTAGAGCAGACAGAAATTTACAACTTATTCCAACTTTTTGAAGTTTATACCACAATAAATTTCTTGGTACAGAGTCAAAAGCTTTCCGCATATCAATAAAACTAACAAAAGTTGAATGTTTTGAAATTTTCCTGTTTGAAATAACGCTAAATAAACTCCAAATATGCTCTTCACAACTACGTTTGCTGCGGAATCCATTCTACTCCTCACAAGGGTATTGTTTTCCTCAAAAAAAGCGTTCAGGCGATTATTCAGTACACTACAATATATCTTACTGGGTACGGACACAAGCGTAATTCCCCGGTAATTTGATGGTAGTCGGTTGTCTTGTGTTCCTGGTTTGAGTATTGGGTTAACTATCCCTTGGGTTCATTGCTCGGGTACTTTACCCAGTTCAAAGCAGCCGTTACAGATAACATATAACAGTTCAATTGCGATTTCATTTTTGAGCACTTCCGCCGGTATTTCATCGTATCCAGCCGCTTTCCGAAGTTTACAATACATCACTAACTCTTCCAATAATGATTGTTGGTGAGATTTCCACATAGAGCGCTATTGATATACCCCACAATCATGTCCAGTGCACAATATCAAAATGTTATTGTCGACATTGCGATGACTATAATGAATTAACGATATTGGATCAGCATCGATTACATTTTATTATCGCGCACATATGTCAACATTGTCGACATCGGGGTGTTTACAATATTTAATCACATATCGTGTTTACATTGTCAACATTGTAGGAAATCTCGTGTATTGTTTACATTGTCGACTATATGATTGTGCATCATTAAAAATGCTTTTAATACAGAAAGTCATAAGTCGGTAGCTCATTATAATTTCTTTATTTGCATATTTCCAAGTTACTAAATAATTTTGCCTTCATATTGTAGCCTCCAAATAATATGTATGGTTTATACACTTTATTTGAAATAAACGTTGTTAATGATGATCCTCTTCTTTGAATTTACATATATTAGAATCTTTCAAGATATCGACGATCTAAACGATGTTAACACAAGGGCGTTGAATCAGTATACAGTTTAAACTTGATGTTGACACGATATTGTCAATTTTGCAATGGATTAAAGCGTTTTGCAAGACATTTGAACTGAATTTACAATCGATGTTTACACGATATCGTCGACATCACGATGTTGAAAATATTGTTATAATATCGTCCATAGGATATATGGTCATTGGTTTATGTGGGTTGGTTTTTTTTTTTTGCAAATTCAATATACCTTTAAGTTAATGTCAATTATTTATACTCTTTTATTTATATCTGCTTTTGATTAGTTATGTGTTATGTATTTAATTCTAATACAACATTATATGTAATTAGTAATACATTGATGAAAGTACACAAGATATATTTAATCTTTAACTATTTTAATTGGAAAATGATCTTTGCAACAAAACGTTAGACCTTTGTAAACTTGAATGAAATAAATGATACTTGTAAGTATCAAATAATTTCGTTACTTCCTTATTTTCCCCTAAATACAATAATTTAAAAATGATTATATTTTGTAAAATAAAATGTTCTCTCCACACAAAAGCATCGGGAAATTAATCAAGATATTTGAAATTGATACTTTAGTCAATAACCTAAATTTCAAAATTGTTTAATTTACTGGGAACTAAACCTACTTCTCATACCAGCCAACTCGTACCAGAGATTTCTGCATTGCTTTAGGAAATTCTCCAAAGGCTTTTACAGTATGGTTTAAAGCCAATAAAGCGAGCTTGCATTGTTCTTCTGTTCTTTCCTCCGGGTTCATACTGAGTATAGTTATTGCTTCATTACTAAGCCGTTCCTGTTTTATTAAGATATAATATTTCATAACTTTCTCTGTGTGAAAAAGAATAGAATTATTAATGACAAAATCCAATTCACATTTTAGTTTTATTAGAATTAAATGAATTCTTCCTTTCGCTTTATAAGTAATGGCTACATGCAGGCAATAAACTAGAAAAATTACCTTTCTTTTTAGTTCTAGGTAATGCTGATTATTTGCTATGGAGTATTTTTAGTGGGCGATTCAGAAAGTGATATCAATGTTTTATTTTGCATGCTCGAACATCGACACGCACCTTCTATTCAAATCCTGTAAAGTCAATATGGATAAATATTAACAACGGAGGACGTTGTAAACATAAATTCTTAAATAATGGTAGTGAAAAAAGGACAAACCAAAAGAAAAAAAAACTGTTACAGATATGTGCAAAAAAAATCGTAATGTTTTGTGACAAGAACTCCTGAAAAACAGGTACTATTGATAGGCCTTTGATTTAACCTACTACGCATGTGTCAAGTATTTCAAGGCAAAAAAAATCTGTTCTTATAAGAATGATACCCCCTGACGCCATCTCTCTAGCAAAGTGCAAATAAGAAACAAGAACGAAATACACTAAATAAAAAACTAAGCAACGACGAATTTAACTTTTAAAATTCAATTCATGAACTGAAAAGTTGACAAAACCTTGCATTGATCCATAATTAGTATTTACTAATGTTCTGTGTAGTTTTATTTGTAATATATTGTGTATCGTTGCATATTCACTTGATACAATACAATATTCACTGTATAACTATGTTTGATGTTTTATATATGTTAGCTTTATTTCCTCCATTATGGATTATATGACATAAAATGTTTTCAAAGATCACTCTGCAAATTAGATTTGTTTTGTTAACTATTCTAACTGCAGACTCGAATGTTCCTGAATCGCTCACCTAGTATAAAGAGAACCTAAAACCTCCTCTTATCAGTCATCACAATATAAACGACCTATGAAATAATTTGTAGATCTCGATTTGCTTGTTATTAGCTGTTGATAGTTTCTCTCCGTCAATTATTCATTTAAAGACTCTATAAGTTCATAATGATTGTCATTAAACAGAACAGATAGAAAACACCGTAAACATCACTCATGTCAAGGGGAATCAAACATTTAAATGATGGTGGAAAATAGCCATTCTAGGGCAATAACTCTCTGTGACTTATTGTATATCGTCAAGTTGCCTTGATGGACAATATTGAGACTTAAAAATTCGTATATCTGTACATTAATGCACGTTTTCAATGTTATATGTAAATTTAATCCATAATCAAAAACTGCATGGTAAAAAAATTTATATTCACATAAATGTAAAATTCAATAATCCGTTGTTGCAATCTACATGTATTTGATGATTTTAGACTTCACCATTTTAGTAGATTGTCTATCAACTTTCTAGTAAAAGGTAAAAACTCTAATATTGTGTAAAAGTCATAACTGAAGGAAAATAAATCCAAGACGATGTCAATTGTTGGTCGATATCGGTCATGTTAATTATTTTAAAAGTAAACGAAAAACGACAGAGGACGATGGAAGACAAGCAATAAATCACATGGACAAATGGACCAAGTGAGAACAAAAATCTTTTAATTGATTTTTTTTAATGTTAATTAAAAAGAACAATTATCTTTAAATCTGCATATTTCCATCAAAAATCTATTTTGCCAATCTTACCTCTTTTCTGCATGCATAGTCGCCAGGATCAAAGCTGAGACCATGGAGTCCATATATTCTCTTTGTTGTTAATTCATCATGATGAGCCCATGACAAAACTTCATTTCTTGACGTGTTCTCATTTGTTCTTATGACTCTTAAAAGTATCAGTACCGTCTTAACAGCACGCCTGAATCGGTATCTTGACTGTTTAAAAGATATTATATAACAAACACCATAAGGTTAAGTTGGGTAACATTAAGACAAAACAATGGACATTTGATAATACTTTTTTGTTTTTTAATTATTTCGATTGATTGCGAAGAAATATCAGCTCCATAGGGGTGGTAAGCAATTTACAAAGAACCCATGACTTGATAGCTTTTGGAAACTGCTGTTTTCACAAGCTACATGTATATATATGTATAAATATATAAATATAAAGACCTTATTTTAAGATAAGGTATTATGAATACCCCTTCAAACCAAGATTCGTGCTGTTCTCAGACTGCTTATCACGTCTTTACATTAAATCCGTTGGAGGTGTACTGAATTGTCATTTTAGTTTAGGAGAACATGGTTTATCTATAAGTTATTATTGTGCTCTGAATCGCTTGCAATAACTGTGTTTACTCTTTAGTTAGTACTTTCTGTCAGTTGACATTTTTATTAGTTTTTGTGCTAAGTACCGATCTAATGAATCAATCCCTTTCCACCTGATTTTTACAGATTGTTCTTATGTTGTAGTGTGACACCACTGTCCCAAACATGTTGAACTCTGCTACGTTTTTTATTGGTCTGTCTTTAGCCAGAAATATGTACTCTAGTGGTTATCGTTGACTGATGGCTGCCATTTTTGTTTTTCGTTCATTATTGTAGTATAAATCAGTCCGTTGGTTTTCTCTTTTGAATTGCTTTACATTTCGTCATACTGGGGCCTTTATGATTTACTATACGGTATGGGTTATGCTCATTAGTGAAGGTCATACTGTGACCTGTCATTGTTCACGTCTTTAACTTGTCATTTTTGCAATGAACATTTGTCAAATATACCACATCTACTTATTTTCATATATAAAAATATGGAGATGTGGTATGATTGCCAATGAGACAACTATCCACCAAAGTTCAAATGAAGTGGATGTAAGCAATTATAAGCAACCGTACGGCCTTCAACAATGCCTTCAAGTTGTCTTTACATTGACTAAATTTGTAATTTTGTATCTCCAAGTTAAGATTAACCAAGCACTCTGAGAGTATTACATGGCAATGCATAGTTTTAGTGCCCTACCGGTTAAAAATCATTGTACTGAAACAAAATGCTAACTTAATCGGTAATTTGAAATATTTTCTATATTAAAAAAAAAATCCAAATATCTCCTGGTACCAATATTAAACACTCGATCTGTTTATCTAATAAAAGTGCGAAAAACTGATCATTTGCGAGAATTTTCTAAGTCCGAAGACCATAACTCTGCATAAACATCAAATATCAAATCAATATTGTCAAGCATGACAAAAAAAGTGCGGAAAACTGATTATTTGCGTGTAATTTTTAAGTCTGAGGACCATAACTCTGCACAAAAAAAATCATCCGACCCGAACAATATTCGAACTTGAACTGTAACTTATCATGGTTAAACTATATACCAAATATCGAAACCAGACTCGAGCTGGCAGCCACTTTTAGCAGCCAATCAAGATAGCAGCCACTTTTTTTCCAGCAGCCAATTTTGATGATGTGTCTAAAACCCAAAAAACTATACAAGACTCAAACGTTCCAAAAATCTCAAAATCTTAGTTAAATATAATTTAACAGCGGAATTCGACAATTCACGGCTTGTGGTGATTCTCAAAAGATTTCAGTCCGTTTTAAATACCAATAATGATAGCAGCCACTTTTTTTTCGGAGGACACTGTTTGTTTAATAAAAAATTGTACAATTTAAAATCGTTTTTTTTCGTTTTTTTTCTCGTTTTTTGATTCCTTATGATTAAGAGGTACAGAAACAATGTAGGAATCGAAATTAAAAATAATCAAAGAACAACTAATATTGTAAATTACATACAAGCTTTCCATACACTCGGCATCCTCAAATATCCAGTATTTCAATTGAAACCATTTTCAATATCAATTTCTGTATATATAAAATGAAAACAATTCGATATACATGTAATGTTAATCTTTTTTTTAATGTGAACAAGTATTTTCTATAAAAATCCTACGTGGACTATTTTGTACGGCATGCGACATTACTAATTTATTAATCTAAAACTGAAATTTTCCTTATCAAATGTGCCATTACAAATAATTGACATATAACTAAAACTGTTGTGGCCTGACGGGCCCGGATCCCAGAAAAAATTTTAAGTGGTGAATTGCCTGGGTTAATACCTTTGGAATGAGCAAGGTCTGGTTCGGAACTTTGCCGTAGGGATATGCCGAGGAGTACCGAATGTGTGGTTTGTATGGAAAATACGTTACGGGGCAACTTTGAACCCCTATGGTGGCCAGACGGGCCCGAGTCCCAGAAAAATATTTCAGTGGTGAATAGCCTGGGTCAATACCTTTGAAATGAGCTAGGTCTGGTTCGGAACTTTGCCGTAGGGATATGCCGAGGAGTACCGAATGTGTGGATTGTATGGAAAATACGTTACGGGACAACTTTGAACCCCTATGGTGGCCAGACGGGCCCGGATCCCAGAAAAATATTTCAGTGGCGAATAGCCTGGGTCAATACCTTTGAAATGAGCTAGGTATGGTTCGGAACTTTGCCGTAGGGATATGCCGAGGAGTACCAAATGTGTGGTTTGTATGGAAAATATGTTCGCCACTTAAATATTTTTACTGGGATCCGGGCCCGTCTGGCCACCACATGGGTTCAAAGTTGCCCCATAACGTATTTTCCATATAAACCACACATATCTCATATCTTACTTAAATCCATTATTTACAATATTAGTTGTTCTTTGCTTTTTTTATTTTTTATTCCTACATTGTTTCTGTAACTCTTAATCATACGGAATCGAAAAATGAGAAAAAGAACGAAAAAAACGATTTTAAATTGTACAATTTTTCATTAAACAAACAGTGTCCTCCGAAAAAGTGGCTGCTATCATTATTGGTATTCAAAACGGACTGAAACCTTTTTGAGAATCACCACAAGCCGTGAAATTGTCGAATTCCGCTGTTAAATTATATTTAATTAAGATTTTGAGATTTTTGGAACGTTTGAGTCTTATATATTTTTTTGGTTTTTAGACATATCATCAAAATTGGCTGCTGGAAAAAGTGGCTGCTATCTTGATTGGCTGCTAAAAGTGGCTGCCAGCCTGAGTCTGGTAATATCAAATCAATATCTTCAAGGATGACGAAAAAGAGTGCAGAAAACTATTACTTGCGTGAATTTTCATAGTACAAGGACCATAACTCTGCACCAAATAAACAAAATGTGCGAAACTGATTTGCCGGACTGACGGAGTGCTTACCTAAAGTCCCCTACGGCTTTGCCGGTATGGGACTAAAAATACGTTATTGCAATAATTTACAAAAAGTAAGTAAAAATAAGGAGGTCTTCTCACTTGATTCAAGAGACAGATTGATTGAATGTTGTCTGTTTAATGTCCAGTGGAAAATATGTCGTGCATATTCAGGATGAAAGTTTCGGATATACTACGTTTATAATTATGCATTATGATATTGTATAGGTTCATTCCTATAAAAGGTAAAATGGCAAAAATACCGAACTCCAAGAAAATTTAAAACGGAAAGTCCTTTATAAAATGGCAAAACCAAAAGCTCCAACACATCAAACGAATGGAAAGTATTTGGTCACGTATACATCATCATCTATCAGTTTGGTTGAATTATTTGTTGGTTGTATTGATTGATTGATGTAAGATCGCTGTCCTTTGCTTATTTGACACATTGTATTTAAACATGATTCAAGTTTTTCTCTCTACAATATCACACAGCGTTATTTTTTTCCAGTAAAATTAATTTAAATCAATTATTGTTAGGTGACGTAAAATAAGTCGAAAAATAATCTTATTTTACATTCTCAAGCCAAGGTTTAAAGATTGATTACTTATTATATGCATAAGTCAAACAGAATGTGATCTTTGACCTATAATAAATAAGCGAAACATTAATATGACAGTACGTAAATCCTCCCTATTGATTTCAGATACGCAGTGATCCTATGATTGCCATTCTTAATTCCATGTTCCGTTGAAACACAAGTTTTAATCTTGTTGACGTTTCCGAATATCTATATTAACCTACAACATTGCAATATCATTATTTGTCTGACAGTCAGCTTAGTGTTATTTTAATAATAATCAGGAAAAAAAGGATGATATGAATTGAAATAGATAAAAGTGCATCATCCACTAACAAATAACATACCCAGTAAAAACACTAAGAAAATAGCAAAAATAGAAAAAAAATAATTTAGTAAGATACTCTCACTGAGTTAGCATAGCGAAAACCGATGCGGGGAATGAATAATATGAAGTTCACAGTGAATGCAATATAAGTAAACCATTAATGAAGTTAGAGCTTCAATAAACAATGTATAAAAACTTGAAAGAATTTTACCATCGCATGTTGAAGTTGATTACGTTGTTATTCGTTCACATTTTTAGATATTATTTATTAAAAAGCATCAAATTTAACAGCGCGGACATGCACGTGCACATGTAATTACATGTAAGTACACTGAGATATAAACTCGCATGATTTATCGATCTATATCGTCGGCACACAGATTATTTTTCGTTAAGGTAATGTTAAATTTTTAGCTTTTATTTATCAAAAGCAAAAAATTGTTGTCCAATATTGTATTCTTACGCGTTTACTTTGTTTTAAATCCGAATAAGCGGGAGTTCGTTTCCTATCTCAAAATCTGAGTGTTGAAAGAGTTTGTACATGATCCTTTTTTTTTGTGCGTGTAAATTTAAGTTGAAAGTTTGCCGCATAATACTCGGCAAAATGTGAGAAATCTCTTACAAATTGTGTAATGTCAATCGGTTGTACCACATGTAAATACCTGCAAAGCAAGCAATTATATTTGCATTTCGTAAGAATGCATGTGCACATATCAGGACTCAAATGGTGTTTTGAATTATTAAACTGTCTATGAGTATCCTTGAATCATGAGGAAAGTTTTGAAAACCAAAAAAAAAACATTTTTTTTTTAATAACAAAAACCAGCTACGACATGCAAAATATATTTGTTTGAAATAGGAATCATAAATGAATACATGTACACATACCAGAATCCTATTCTTGAATTGTGGTGGAAAGAAATTATCAAGAGAAAGAATGCGTCGCATCCGCCTCCCGCCTTTTCTATTTAATTGTCCCTGTGCTTTCTTCCCGGTCATAGACGAAAAATTCTGCGTTGACTTTGTTTTAAACAGCGTTCTTTTGTCGAAATTGGAAGCATTTATAGCTGGAAAAATCACTTCTGGTATTGGTTGTTGAACATTCAAACTCAATCGACGGTTCACTACGTTATTGACGATTGACGGAAGTCTTATTTCGTGCGGTTTCTGTATATTTAGGCTCATTCGTCTAGAGACACATGTTTTATTGTTCTCAAATAAATATCCATCATAACTATTTCTATTAAACAAATCTTCCTTAAATAAAACTTTTCTTTTATGCGGAAGTGCATCTGACTTGCTTCTTCCCTTTTCCTTTGACTTTTTATTCAAAGATTCCGAAAATTCACTAAATTTTCTATTCCGAAAATTCATGGTTTACGTTTTAACTCTCCTAACATATAAGTGTCAATTTACATTCTCTTAACAAGAAACTAATAACTTTTTGATAATAACTTTTTCCGATACATTACCTTTATACTATTATATTAAAATACCCCTATATCTTAAATCTATGATCATGATCCTTTAATTTCATCTGTTTGAAACGTAGAAAAATGTTTCTTATCAGCCGCAATTCTGTTAGAAATTTAAACATTTTAATAACTTGGAGTA